CCATCTCCCCGGCCTGTAGACCCTTCCCTAAAATACAAAAAACAACAACAAAAAAACACCCCAGTTGCTGCTGTGCTGTCTCTGGTAGATGTCTGATTAAAAAGGAAGGGGGTGGTGAATGAAGACAGGAGACAGAAAAAGGGGTGTTTTGGGAATGTCCTGCTACAATGCTGTATATGGTTAGATTTCTAAACTTATGTGTAAAAATATGTAATTGTTCATTCCTATTGAAAAAAATTTTTTCTTCATATTCTGTAGAGACTTAAAGTTTAATATATCAATGCTTGATGAAAAATACCTGTTTCATGTTATGCCTAAGATATTTCACACTCAGATAGATAGTGAGCTTAAGTTCAACAGCCCAGGGTGTAGGGTAATAACAATAAGCTTCTCTTCTGGAGGGTTAACAACTTAAGTTTGCAGATGAAAAATTAGAGAAAAAAGAGGGCTGCAAGGTCAGCCAACATTTTGGCCCTAGCCTCTAAAGGTCAATGAAGACTCAGGATATAGGAGAGCCTATAATGTAACATCATGTAACTCAGTTGTGTCCCACATTTTCTGATCAAGGAGATTATGGGGCCACAGAGGAAAGTGGTCGATGATGTAGAGTGTGCCTAAAGAGAGTCACATGGAGAGAAAATATTCTTTCAAGCTTTCACAGAGAGCACACTGGCCAAGCAATGGCTGTTTACAGGGTTAGAGGATAAGTCTGTAGGGTACTTGACTGACCTTATCAGATACAAAAGCTACATTTCTTGTTATATAAATCTGGCTTTATCTTAGTCTTAACCATTCAGCAGAAAAGTATAAAAACAAAGTATGAGAAGTAAAGCCATATTAATATGCTGAGCTGTAAAAGGCTCAAGTCAACAACTTCTGACATTGCCAGTTTTACAGAAAACCCACTACTACTGCGGACTACTGGACTATTTTGGAATATTTTGCTGAATTTTCACACCTATAATATTTAAACGACAAAACTAAACAAAAAAGGGGGATAAAAATGAACGACCAGCAGACCCAGTCCTAGCCCAGGTCCGGTGAGTGTGTGGAGAGCTTCCTGCTACCCTGCGCCGGCGGGACCAGTCCCAGCCCAGGCGCAGCGTGGGCCG